GTGTTTCATTTTTCAAATTTTTTTTTTATAAATTGGAATAATCTGAAATTTGGAGCGTGTATACATCATAGTGAGGCGCACCTAATAAAAATATGAAGAAAAATATTTCGTAAATATAAATTGATCAAAATACCCTTATAAATTTTTCAGAGGTATGTTGGTCAATTTATATTTTATGAATTATTTTTTTTATATTTTTATTAGATTCTCTTATTTTTTATGAACACACACTCCAAATTTTAGATCATTTTGATTTGAAGAAAAAAAAATGAAAATTGAAAGACTACCGAACAACTGTGACCATGCGATGAACTTTGGACGGTGATGAGCATAAGCAAAATCAATGTTCATTTTCGCCTATCTTTCCAATTTCGGTTTTAAAACAGTGCCTTTCCTAATTCCAACATATGGTTTTGGTATTTTGTTCCAACATAAATTGTAAAATGATCAAAGCTTAATGAGACTAGGTCCTACGATTTTTGGTGGTCAAGTCCAATGGCACATTTCTTTCTTTATTTGAAAGAGTGGCTCAAACTTTATAAGGCACTTCCACATCTGGGAAGATGAAACAATCCTATTTATACCGCCCATTGACATCTTCAAAAAACTAACTCTTTAATCTATATGAAAAAACGGGTAAGAGCATGTCTTCTCAATTGAATTACCTAAAAAAAATAAATGAAGACAATAAAAAGACACGTACATCATAAAGTGGGCCCATCCATTATGCTAAATAGTTGTACATATATGACGCATTACTTCTTTCAACTTAAATAAGATCTAATAGAACAACATTATTTCTTGAGAAGTTCTTCAATATTTATTATGATATTCCACTATAATATAGTGCTTCAAATCGGTAAAAAATAGTCAAAGACATTTGTGTTATGCTTGATCCCACAACAATGCCTTTGTACTCTTTTAAGTATTCATCTTATGTTACTATAAAGGGCAGTTCATTGTTTACCGTTTGTAGTAGTTTGGAAATTTACTCCTTCCCATATTGGTTAGTGCATAAAAAATAATTCAATGTGTAATTTCGATATTGCAATTGAGGCGAAATCCTATGATCATGGCACTCCAAACTGTAGGTATACTTCATTGCTATGGGCTTTGGGATGAGTTGGATTCAATGAGTGTGAGTGGGAATTTTCAGCTGCTAACTTTTTCATTTCTTGGTAAATAGAAAATCAAATACATATTGTGAGAGTTCGAGAGTCTTGATTAAGTGATCTACTCCCCGTTTCTATTAACTGAGATTCCCAAATTTATTCATGATATCTATGATGTTGGTGTTTGTATTTCTAATCTAAGAGCATGTTTGGTTGGTGTGAAAATATTTTCACGGTAAAATTACCTTAATATATGTTTGGTAATGAAAAAAGGCATATAAAAACAAAATCTATGATAAAACATTTTCCCTTAGAATGGTCCATTTTATATGAAAACAACCACACCTTAACCCATGGAGAAACATTTCCCGGGTTTTATATTCACACCCGATCCACTATTCACCACTCATTCACTATTTATAAAATATCATATGTTATACGATATTTTATTTATATATTAAATAATGGGTACGGTTTATATATGGCCAAGGCTCTAAACAATCAAAATAAAGTGCACCTTCAAATAGTGTCGAAAAATGTGGTTTCAATACTGAAAAGTATTGTGAGAGCCTTGAAATATATTTTCATCTTTAATTATAAAATTTAAAGATTAAAAAATAGTGTAGATCAAACAGATCTATGAAAACTTGAAAATCTTGAAAATCGACAGTCCAAAAATAGATTACAAGATGTACTATTTTCAAAACTTGAAATCTATTTTTTCTCATGTCCATGCATCTTGAGGTCGAGAATCAATTTGAGGATATTTGGGCATCAAAACAATCTCTTCTAGTGAAAATTTTGAGGTGTGCCTTAATTTGATTATTTAGAGCCTCACACTTATATAAATTTTTTCTTAAATAATATATTTAATATATAAAAGGTGTGGTTTATATAAGGTTGCAACCTCAAACAATCCAATTAAGGTGCACCACCAAATTTTATCATATCATGTAATTTTGGTAAAAAGGATTCTCAGGATTATCTCAAAATCTATTTTTATATCTAATTATAAAATTTTAAACCCCAAAAATGGTTAAAATCAAGCAGATCCATAAACACATGAAAATCTTGAAAATAGATGGTCTAGATAATGTATTGCAAGATGCACTATTTATGGGACTCAAAATCTTTTTTTTCTTTCATATTCATACATCTTGATGTCGAGATGGTCACTTAGAAGCTTTTTCAACAATAAAACAACTTTTTTCGATAGATTCTTGAAGTGCATCTATAATTCTATTACAACCTTATATATAAACTTTCTCCATATATAAATTACATTTCAATAATATTTAATATGTAATATATGAATGATATTTTATATAAACTATATTATATAATTTTAGATAATCTATAGTGTGATGCAATATTTTAGATGTCAATCATAAAATATTTTATATAAAAAATACAACCTCGACTGAAAATATTTTAGATTGAGTTTTAGGCAAGATAGTAAACTTTTTAAGTTTGCAATCCAAAAATCTAAATGTTGTCCAAACCACACAAACAACTTATCCCCAGATTTTTAGATGTCAATCATAAAATAGTGCTAGATTTGGGTACATCATTACTAGCATTTAAATTATAACCAGAAATGCAAATAAATACATGTTTACACGCGATTCCAAAACTTATAAGACTAATCAAAGTTTTATCCAACTTAGATTTTTGTCCAACGTAATATTTAAAAAGCGTCAAGAGAGCTGGATCACATCAAATTCAGAAATAAGGCTAAAAGATTTATTCTTTGCAAAACTGCGGCCGGGCTGGCTTAAGAGAGTTGGATCACATCAAATTCAGTTTTACAAAGAAATAAGGCTAAACGATCCTATTCTTTGCAAAACTGCGGCCGGGTTGGCTTAAGTAGTGTGAAATCCGAAAAGAAACAAAAACAACAGAAAGAGAAATAATGAGTAGACACGCAATAGAAAAGTCTACTAAATAAATAACTATGAATATCAATGAAATTGAAGAAAAGTAGTAATTAAATTAAAAAAACTAACAAAAGGAATAAAAAAAATGAAAGCAGAATATCTACTAAGAAAATAAGAATAAATAAAGATAACAAAGGAAAATCATAAAGAAAATTAAGTAATAAAGAAAAATAAGCAAATAAAGGCTTGCCCTGGTGGTCAGGTTTTAGGTCAACACCCAGAGTTGGGCCCAAATCAAATAATGAAGATAAAGCATTTACTGTTTGATTTTCAAGATTGAAGATCTTGAATGATTAATTTGCATTCCGAGAAAGAGAGGGATGCCTAAAAATTTATATCTAGGGATATTTAATGACCGAAAGGGATTTGTTTTACTCTATGAATTAGCTGGGTTAGGGTTCTTAATTGCATTATGAGAAAGAGAGGGATGCCTAGAAATTTATATCTAGGGATTTTAATGACTGAAAGGGATTTGTTTTACTTTATAAATTAGCTGTATTAGGGTTCCTAGGTCTAGAGTTTTGGTGGCCTGGAAGTGGGGTTCGGATTTGATGTACTGGAAATTAGGATTTGGATATGGGAATAGGGTTTCGTGTTAAGGCTCTGTCAAAAATGGGGAAAAAGTCTATTTATTAGCAAAATCACCACAAAGTAGGACGGCTGTTTTTTTGGACAAATCTGGGGCTGACACGTGGATTGTGCCCCACCTTAGGGCATTAGGTTTCGTCTCACTATGTGGCACTGCCCACTATTCGATTAGTGTGATGCTAACCACTATTCACTTCCGGATAACCTAGATTTTTCTAGGATTTTTTTTCTAATAATATTTACTTCCCAATTTGAATGGAAAATCTTGGTCTGATAAATATTGAAATGTATTCTCACTAATTTGCATAAGAACCTATTTATTTTGAGTGATTGGATGATTTAGGAAATTTAAGGATTATTTGGCTTTTTAAAATGGGATTTTCTAGATTATGGCATATTCGGGAAATGTTCTAAGTCAGACTATGACTTGGGATTGATTATGGTTTAATGTGTCCTGTGGTGTGGTGTACAACAACAACGTGCTTCACAGTTTTAGAATTAAAAAATAAAGTTCAATTATGAGCGGGTGCCTACATGGCATCTTTATTATTATTATTATTATTATTATTATTATTATTATTATTATGTATTGAGGTTAATCTATGGGTTGGAGAGGTTTGTCCAAACGCAAGGGCCTCGGGCCTTTACATCTTGAAGTTTTAACATAAAAACAATCCTGAGGCAATATTTTATTGCATTAGCTGCTGTTACACTGCGCGTGGTCTTCATAACATCGCTCAATATCTTAAGAAAATTTAGGTACGGACCGATTTTTCTTCCATTGTGGAACGCTTCGCATTTTCTCTACAATCACATGGAGACCACCCCTTGCCGGCCTACTTTCTCTTTTTTTTTTCTTTTTTTCTTTTTTTTAATTTTGCCTCCCCCACATTGATCTGATGGAAAATTCATTTTTTTTTTATTAGCGATGTCGGACAACTCTAAAACCCCTGGTGCCTTCGGCATCCGTTATATTGGACATTTCCAAATCTTTTCTTTTATGGACTCTGATGTTGATGACACCCGACACCTCATGACCTCTTCGGTTTTGAAAATATCTGATGGCCCAAAGGCAAGAATTTCGAGACGTTAGGCCATAGGATGTTACTAAAACTGGACACCTCATCCCTGCAATAGATTTGTCTTATGTTGAAAATGTCTTATGTTGAAAATATCGCAATAGATTTGTCTTATGTTGAAAATATCGGATAACCTAAAAGCAAGGATTAGGAGTTCTTAGGCTATTAGGCTATCCGATATTGTTTATAGCAAACACCTTGTCACGTATAGTTATGGTATGAAAGGATATTTCTTTTCATCTTTTCCAAAAAAGGAAATAGAGAGAGACTTTTTTTTTTAAGAAGTTATGAGATACACTTTCAAATGTGGTTGTTATCACCTTGAGTCCATACATATAGAAATCACATGAGAATGAGAGGCTATTGTAGTACTTGGTTGGTTTAACCAAATCCATATCTTTTGGGCCATTTTTTTACGTGGATCTTTCTTGGGCCATTCATTAGGCAGATTTTTTTTAGTGTATGAGAGGTACATGAAGCATTTTTTTGAAGAGAAGAAGAAGAAAAAGAGACATTGATCATCTTCTTAAGTATTTTCTTTGTTGATAGAGAAAATATAGAGAATGAAAGAAAAATGAAAGAAAAGAAGTCTTTAATAGAGAAAAACCTGGGACATCTTAGAGAGAAGTCTCTCTAAAATCGATGATCTTAAAAAAATTTGTTTCTTTAAAGACTATTGTAACTTTTGAGTTAATAGTTGATTTGTCTTTTTCTCCCAATGACATAGTCTAAAAAGGTGAACCTGAAAAGATAAACCATGCAAATCTGGTGTCATTTATTTGCTTATGTTTTTTCACTTATACACACATCGACTTTGACATATTTTTGTGTCCAAAATATGCTTATTTCGCAGCGTATACCGGCATTTGTGCGAGAGGTCTCTAATTGGTTAAGCCCAACAACGACATCATCAATATCTAATAGACTGAGAGATAGAAGTGTTCGGCATTTCTGATATTGGACAAGCCTTGATAGTTAAAAAAAAAAATTAGTTAAAAAAAAAAATTTTATTTAAAAAAAAGAACGAATTTTTCACATGTCCTACGTTGTAAATATCAGATGGGGGGACGAAGGAAAAATTTAGTTAAATTTATGTACGGACCATATTGGGTCAATTACAAAATAGGATCACATTTGTCCCAAATTACGAGCGGCACCTTCCCTTCAAGGGTTTTTTTTTTTTCCCAAGTTACCCATGTTTGGTAATACGAACACTGGACAGGTGAGATTTATTCCGTACTAAGCAAAACAATTGTCCAATGTTTGAAATAACGGACAGCACCGGACAGCTATCTACTATCCCCAAAACCAACAAACTCTCTCTTTTTCCAAACATCATGAACCTTTTCTATCACACGCTCTCTCTCCTCCCAAAACCATCTCTCTCTTAACCCATCTCTTTGCACGGTAACGGAGAACAATTTACTAGGAAGAACAAAATGAAACCTTAATGCCCCATTAGAATGAGCCTCACATCCTCTATCATGGGGTATATCGATTCCTCCAATAATGAGCGGCCAAACAGGCTCAAGTCCGTGAAAATCGAAGCCATGTCCGACTCCAAAAGGCGGTGAAATCCTAGGTTTCTCGGAGCTCCTCTTTGTCTACACCTCAACAGCACTATTCATAACATGACATCGATTAGGGAGAGATTGAGGTAGTGCCTCAAATCTTTTTACATCTTTGAACCAAGGTTGAGGAGTTGGAACCGTAAAAAGGAAAAAAAGAAGAAACGGGTGTAGTTTGTATACAGCCAATGCTTTAAACAATCAAATTAGAGCCCACCTTCAAATAGTATCAAGAATGTAGTTTTCATACTTAAAATATTTATGATAACATTTATATATTTTCATCTTTAATTATAAAATTTGAAGCTTTAAAAATAGTATAGATCTGAAAAATCTTAATTTTATGATACACTCGTTTTATACCTTAATTATTGTTCAATCACTATCTCCTAAAGCTTCAGAGTGTGACTCATAAATTTGATCTCTCAATAATTCACACAATTCTTTACGTCTCATCTTATAGATAGGTACCACAATACTTTTCTTCTATTCATTTGACGTTTTCTTTGTTCTCAACGCTTGACAAAACAGCTTCATCAGCTAAACAATGCCAATATCTCCCATGCACTTCCAAACCTCTATCGAAATACCATCTGTCTTAAAGCCTTTCATATCATCATATTTTTCAAATGTTCTTTTACTTCCAATATCGTAATCCTATACATGTATTTTTATAACTTCCGCCTTTATTTGTGCCAACAATTTCTTCTACTATTATATTCCCATTGTGTTCGTCATTTAATAATTTTTTAAAATAAACTTTCTAACTTTTCATTGACCTCTTTCATCGTTTACCGAAACCTCTTCATTTCTCTCTCTTATGTATTGCTTACTTGTCAATTAACAATACAATATGAACCAACAAACATAGTTAATGCTAAGAAATCCATGTTTTCACAGCGAAGAAAGACCAACAAACCAACACATTTTTAAAGTACAGTCCAGAATAACAACCATTAAGAGCCTGCATTTTCATTAAGTTGGTTCAGGAAACAGATCAGACTAGACTAATTTTTAAAATGTGAATCTCTTTTTAATTATGATAATTGAGCTCTCCCAACTTCTGATATAAGTAACCAGGTTACCTCTTACTTTACAGAATTAAATATTTAGAACACAACATGAAGAACTAAAAAGGATTGCCTAGTGCAATAACAGACTGATTATGGCTTCCTGTAACAGAGAGCATACATCATATCGTTACCATAACTGGGATTTCCATGGTAACAATATACTTTAATGAGCATCACTATACAGATGATACATATATATATATATATATATATACGCACAAAAAGAAGGTTATAGTGGATTACTTTGAAGAAGCAATCTCTCAAGAGGGACTCTCTTAAGAATTTAGTCATTCTGAGAACTTCTTTCTCTACCACCTGCAAATGAGGCCAATGGAGGTAAAATGATTTGCATGGTTCCTTGTCAATCTGAGCTCTAGCCAATGGCATTAGGCTGTACAGCATTGTCTACCTCCCAGTTTCTTGACCTGCGAAATGCAATTTACTTTCAAGTAAGCAGAGAGACAAAGGAAAGACCAGTCATACTGAAAAAGAAAAGGAATGTAACATAAGAGATCATAAAGATCAAGAGAACAATGCAGTTGGACGTTCTTTTCATTTGTTTTGTTTTTCTTTTAGGAATGAGTTCTTTTCATTTTTTTTTAATTTTAGGTAAAGCTTGGAATGTCATTAATTTAAAACTGTTCTTGAGCTTTCGATGAATCAGATAACCTTTTTATTTATTTTTTCAGAAATTGAGAACTAGAGAAACTTTTTGATTGCACAAGGAGTTACTTAAGCTGATTCATTTATTTATTTTTAATAATTATGTGCCTTATAGCTTGTTCTTGACAGCAAAGCTTTCCTCTGCTTCTAGCAACTTTCGAAGAATCAAAGAAGGCTTTCTTTGGTTCTCGAAAGTCGCTAAAAAGCACATGATTTCCCTCAAAAGGTAAACCTGAAAAAAGGAAAACTTACCCCAGAAACAAACCCTTCCTCATGTACTTGAAGTGGTTCTGCGCACTTCACAATATTTGACACGGTAAATCAGGATTCATTCTATATATGGGCCGCAGACAAGGGTTTCCATGGTACTCCCATGCCTCACAAAGAAGATGATGGAAGAAGCAATCATTTTCTGATGAGCTCAATGTTCCAGTAACCATACAAAACTCTATTGACTTTTGAAAAACAATAGCTCATTGAGCTCATCAGCATTTTTGAAAAACAATAGCTCATTGAGCTCATCAGCATTTTTGAAAAACAATAGCTCATTGAGCACATTACCCAACATCTGGGTCCTACCTTGTTTACGAAGGTCCCACTTTCTTCAATCCATTATTTCAAGGGAAGTTGATGATTCAATAGCCTATTGTTTTCTGTAGGCCATGTACAAATCAGAATCCTTACTATTCTTTTTTCTTTCCTATGACTAAGTTCTTTCAAACTCACCTTGTTCGAGAAATTTGTCTCCAAGTCATCAGCTGGTGAGACTGTGCGTGCCTCTGCAAATAGGATCCACCATTCCCAAGGCCACTTTCTTCCCCAATAAGTTGCTCTGACCGACTAGATGTCGATGGAGACCAAACGGGAACCACCCCACCATCTCTCTCTCTCAGACTACTTGACGATTCAGCCGTAAAATGTACAGCATTTTGCAATGAAACACTCACATTGAACTCTGATGCGTTCCTTTCTCTTTCCAATTCACCCATATTCCCAAGATTCAACACCTCATCTCTTCGATCCGCTTCACTACCAAAACTTGCATTTGATGGCACTTCTGGCCTGTTATCCCTTGAAGAACCTGTATTACTCGATGGCTCTTCCTCTTCTTCAACTCTAAATGATGATACAGTCATGGACGGGACCATTTGGTCAGCCAATCTCCTCGTTGCACCAATTTGACCAGTGGGTCTAGCTGGTTGGTTATCGACTTCCATTTCTTCTTGAGGAAAATCAAGAGGTGGGGATTCTGATGAGTCTCCTAATCCTTCTTCTGTCCCATTCTCCATTGCTGCTCTAGAGTTGGCTTCCAATTGCCACATCTCTGAGAGAGCTTCTTGTAACCTTTCTTTAGCTGCTGAGATTTCAATAATAGGTAGTGGATAATTTGTCCCAAGTTCAACACCGGCAGCTTGGAGTACAGAGTGGGGGGCATCCCATGGATGATGTATCCATTCGGTGGGGAGGCGAGCAAGCTCAGGAAGCCACCTACGAACATATTCTCCTTGTGGATCGAATTTATAACCTTCAATCTGTGGTAGTGGATGTTTCAAGGCTTTGAGATAATTTCAATTATGCGATGTCTCTCTCTCTCTCTCTTGTGTGTTTTGAGACAGGTGGCATAACATATTGAAGCATTTGAAGCCTCATACATAACACAAGTCCAATACAAATAAAACAGAAAAGAAAGTATTCTATGGTATATTCATGGTCCGTTGGGGCCAATACTGCCTGATGAAACAACATATGGTTATGGGAAGAGAAAGAGGGAACGACCCACTAGAAAGGGACATCATACCAATGTTGGTTCCATTCTCTCCATGACCATACCATCATTTCACTGTATGGTCATGACTTAGAGAGGATATGGTTCAAAGGGGAAAAAAATACTCCGAGTTGGCAAATCCTGAGTATAGTTCCATACCTGTGGGTTATCGATATGATCAAACTCTCGACTATCGGGAAGAGTCCCTGAAATATACTGCCATCCCAGAGCATCACTTTCCAAATCGGCATCCAATAGTGTGTCCCAAAAGTACTTCATACCCCACGTCCATGGAAGTTGAAGGACCTTCACGAAAAAACTTGCCACCACAACACGTATCCGATCATGAAGCCAACCAGTAGCCCATAGCTCTCTCATTCCCGCATCAACCAAAGGATAACCAGTCCTACCTTTTTTTGGTAATGAGTAAAATTTAGTAAAGCTTTTCTAAGTACAAATAGACAAAAAATACAATTTACTGAAGTTCTTATTTTAAGTTCTAACCAGCCCTACCTTGCCTCCAAGCTTTAAAGTAACTCTCATCGACCACCCAAGGGAAGAACTTGAGGTGCCCAAGAAGAGGCCTTTCATGGCTGCTACGGTGATTGAAGGTTAAATATCGAGAGTATTCTCGAAGGCCTATGGACTTAAGAAAGAGGTTGATACTCTCTTCACCAGCTGTATTTCCTTCATTTGCCCAGAAGACTTGCTTGATGCGAACAAGATGGAAAACTTTGCGCACACTCACTTCCCCAAAGTGTAAGTGAGGAGAGAGAAGAGATGTGGTAGCACTGTCCGCCTTTTTTCGGTTTATTGAATACTCTATTAATGGGCCATTAATAAAGTTGGTTAAAGCTTTATCTGCATTGCTCCATCCAGGCGACCATGCCCTGGCAAGTAGAGCATTGCTTCCCTTCTCAGATTCATCCTCAAATGTCAGGGTGTCAGAACGACACCTTGAGGTATCACCTGAAAGAACCCATGTGCCAATTGATTATGATTGATAAACATCTGAGCAAATTTCAGAACATCGCAATTTCTGAAAACCGAAGAAGAAAAGAAACAAAACTAACAAGACAAATAAACTTAGCAAGAGATTGGAAGAGAAGAAAGAGCTTGGGTAAACCATGCAATGTAGCCAGCTCAACTCCGAAACGAGTCATGGAGATGAGGTGCTCATCAACTTTCTAACGGGAGGAACCCAGAGTTGGATTTTATTAATCAAGTAGGATAAAGATATGTGATTTCTCTTCAACTCCTAGTCTCAGTTCAATTTCTATCCCTACTTCTAACTGCACCAATAGGGCAATCAATGCTAGACCCAAGAAAAATGCATAGAGGCATAGCACAGAAAAAAAGGGGATAGTTAGGGAGAACTCGGATCCTTAATACTCTTATGACTCATAGTAACAGACATCTTGTGAGATTTTCGAATTTTAGGCTGTCCATGAAAATTATGGGAAAAAGGAAAGGAAAATTCATCAAATTACCCCCAAGAGATAATGATTTAACAACTTACCCATATCTTTTGATTTAATTTCATACTATCCATAAAAAAACACATGATCTATAGTTGGAATAGTTGCAAATAGATAAAATGTTAAAGAAAAGTATACAACGAGGATATTTACCTTCGATACAAGGTGATTACAATTAATCTTGACCATTGGATGTGAAATTGGGTGGCTATATTTATTGCATTGTTCAAGCTCAAAAGTCAATAGAAATTTTTTCGAACTTTGTGACACACGCAAGCTATTTGATTTCACATCGGATGGTTATAAGTAATTGTGACCTCCTTGTACCAAAGGTAAATGTTCTTATTGTATATAATCCCAAATGTTAAATAGTTCATCTCTTATAGGTATTTGATAAACTGCCCATAAGAAAATTATGAATAATAAAATTAAAAAAATAAAATTGTTAAAAAATTAAAGATATCTTAGAATACTTAATAAACATCACCAGATTTTAACATAGTATCATTTTTCATTTTTTTAATATCTTGCGATAATATCACAAGATTTTAAATGTTGGAATATAGTTACCAGTAATGCTTCAACTCAATCATCTTCATTTTCACTCTAAAAGTGTATGTAGGAGAAACCCAAAAAACAGAAACTGGCAGATAGACATGAATCTTAGGACATAATAATGACTCATTCATCAGATTTCTTTCCCTTCAAAGTGATAGGCCCCAATGTGTGTGTCTGGGTGTGGCTCTATCTCTGTGTGTGTGTGTGTGTGTGATATATATATAGAGAGAGAGAGGCGTTAGCCTGGACAAAAAGTCACATAAGGGGAAAGCAAGAATAAGAGGAAGGGTAAGAAGGCTGAAATTTAGAAAGATCAACGACGGTATGCAGGAAAATCTATAATTTCCTGTCCTAATCTTTGATGAAAGAAAAAAAAAGGACAGGTTACGCTAAAACAAAGCCAAAAGGCATTCTAAAACTGAAAAGGCAAAAATTAATTAATAGCAGTAAACACCTGAAATTAATAAAAGAAATAAAAGTCCTAGAGAAATATATTTGCAAAATAGTGTAAGCTAAAACAATTCTTGCCAGTGTTCCAAAAAATGCTAAGCGGCACCTAGGTGCCTTGGGAGGTCTAGGCCGCCCAGCACCTAGGCAGCCACCCAAACCTGGGCAGCCTAGGTTTAAAAGCGGGAAAGGGGTGTCCAATAATCATGTTTTAGATCAAATTTTATATAAAAAATGCATATTCACGTATTTTTATAATCCAAACAAAAAAAACACCAAAAATACCCCACCTGATGGGTATTTTTACACCAGGGTGGGTGCAGTCCCCTGGGCGCCCGTCTAGGCAGGTACTTGGCGGGTGCCTATCTTAGGCAAGCGCCCAGGCCTAGGCGATGCACCTAGGCACCCCTAGCTCACCTGGGCAGCCACCTAGGCACTGGGCGGACCACTTTTTTTAATCAATGATTCTTGTTTT